CCATTCTGGAGCTGACCGGAAGTCCGGTTCCCCCACCATAGAGTCTCCTCCTAGCGCAGCATCCTTTTTCCTCTGTCAACCGGAAGTCCGGTTCCCCCACCATAGAGTCTCCTCCTAGCGCAGCATCCTTTTTCCTCTGTCAACCGGAAGTCCAGTTCCCCCACCATAGAGTCTCCTCCTAGCGCAGCATCCTTTTTCCTCTGTCAACTGGAAGTCCGGTTCCCTCACCATAGAGTCTCCTCCTAGCGGAGCATCATTTTTCCTCTACCTGTCCTAATTGAAAATCCTATCAATTGTGGAGACAACCGGAAAACCCTCCCCTTGCCATAGAGTCTTCTCCTGGCGCACTGTGCTTCTCTGTCCCCCCCACCCCCACCGAAAACTCCTCTCAAAATTGTGGCGCCGACCCGTGACGGAGCCGCAGCAGAGGGAGGAAAGAGCCACATGCGGCTCCAGAGCCGCAGTTTGCTGACCCCTGTTCCTTGGGAATTGGCACCATCCAACAATCCTTCTCACCTCCCTTCTTTAACCTTTAAAGTGTCCCACAGGAATGTGAGGAAATCTCTTCCCCATCTTTGGCACTTTTCAAGGTGTGCAGGACACCTTCCCAGACTCTATGGCCGTGATGGCAAACCTATGGCACGCATGCCAGAGGTGGCACGTAGAGCCCTCTTTGTGGGGACGTGCACCCTCACCAGCTGCTCTTCTGGTTTCCAACACCATCCAGCTGGTCTTCGGGGCTGCCAGAGCACCAGAAAATGGCCTGAAAACGCCCCGAAAATCACCTGGAAAATGCCCCCAAAATCACCTGGAAAATGCCCTGAAAATCACCTGGAAAACTCCCTGAAAATCACCTGGAAAACTTCCTGAAAACAGCCAAAAATGCCCAAAAAACAGGCATGCACTGGCTGGGCATGTGGCCTTTGGGTTTTTGGTGCTCTGGCATTCCGATTTGGGCACTCGATGCCTAAAACGTTCGCCATCACTACCCTATGATCTACATTTTACTTTCAACACACAACTATAATGAAGTCTGCTCGTTATGGCTGTAGGCTGTAACTCTCTTAAAATAGCAATAGCAATAGCAGTTAGACTTATATACCGCTTCATAGGGCTTTCAGCCCTCTCTAAGCGGCTTACAGAGCCAGCATATCGCCCCCCCACAGTCCGGGTCCTCATTTCACCCACCTTGGAAGGATGGAAGGCTGAGTCAACCTTGAGCCGGTGAGATTTGAACCGC